ATATATATATATATATATATATATATATATAATATGGATATGAGTAAAATACCGTAAAATGCGGCACTGATATTTCCCGTATTTCACTATAGTGAAATATCAAATCATATCTAACGCGGGAACGATCTTATACGAGTGATTTTCAATACACTATGACTAAGATATGAGTTAGTTGGTCTTTTATTAGAAACATTTTACAATATTTGTGTCATTAATATGAATTACCAATATGACTTAGTTTCTTTAAATTTTCTTTACAAAAATCATTTATCAACGACAGGTGGAATAACAAACTTTTGTCTAGTATCTCTTTCAGGTTGAAATTAATAAGATTTTGGGCTTGCTTGCACATTTATCTAATATATCAGTCTAAGGGTTCATTTGCTATCTATATTCTTTATGCGGACATTCTAACTGGCGAACGAGGAATTTATGTAAGTTATTGTACAGCATTTCAACCGTTACATTCTCTAGTTGTAATAAAAAGGTGTCTAACCATGTACTGAGGTAGAATAACAATAAATTTAAGTCATGATGTTTATATATTGTGTCTTTGAAGAACACTACCCACTAGTCATTTTCTCATGCAACTATATAAAATAGGTACGCAAGGCGTACATGTATCTGCGAAAAAACTTGATTCACATTTTGTATTTTCTTGAAAGAAACTGAATAATGAAGATGACATGGGACAATTGAAATATTTCATCACTTATTATAATAGCAGATAAGATTTAAAACAGGGCTGTACGCAGCAGGGAGTGCAGCAGGGCAAGTGCTCCCACCCCCGCACCGAGAAAATTTAACTAACTTTATAATGTCATTATGATTGTAACAGATAATTATGCAGTCAGGAAATAAAAATTTCATGTAAACAATATTCAAAGTGTCTATACAGCCAGCTATTTAGTAAACTGTCACCTGTCAATTCAATCCATACTCATCAAATTTTCAAAACTTTATTGTAATCATATGAAGCAAAAGTTATGTCACTTGTTGTAATTTACACTTGCCAATGTTAACGGTTGAGTAACATACACAAAATATTTGGTGAACATGTCGAAGACCACTGAATAATTGAGAATGTTTTGAAGGTCATGAGTGAAGTATATAATTAAATTCCAGTTCTGTGCATGGTTAATGATATACCACACTGTTCGGTTTAACACGTACAGCACATTCACACAAAAACAATTGTGTTGTGGGAGATTATCGGTTTGAGTAGAAGGTATCACAAGTTTAGTTTTGTACATTGTGTGCCATTGATCAAATCCACCATATAATATATGATTATTCATTGTAGCTGTTAAGTTATTTTCCATACTAAATTGTAATGAATTTAGGTAAGATTGTCTTGCAAGTCGGTTGTTCTGACAAAATTATCCAGCCAATATCCAGTACATTTATCCTTCATTCTTGTATTAATCTCTAAAGAAAAATATTTATGTTAGAAAGCAAAATGACAATGTAATGTGGCTCGGGAGGGTGAGGATTCTTTTATTTGAAAATGTTTGTAAAAATTTTGTTTAATTAACTCCAATGTGTAAAACCAAAATGCATAAGTATTTTAACTGATAATATCTTCAATCTTTGCTCTAACACTACATTTGATGACAGCTTTATAGTTGGATCGACTGTTGTTACGGAGTCAATATACAGAAATACAGGACGTCCAGGATTTAATTCAATATCTCCTGAGAACTGTTCAACAGGTTCCTTTGATATTGTTAATTGGCAATATTGCCTGCTATGTTTTCACTGTTTAAAATATTACAGAAGTCACAGAAGGATTGTTTTTAATACTGTATAAATCTTTTTGTGAACTATGTTGACAAATCTATTTCAAATGGCTTAAAATATCCTCGAAAATATCCAATATTTTATACAGTGTAATATATTAATAAAAAAATTCCAGAGTGCATTCCATGTAAACTCTACGCCAAAGATACGGCAATACAATTCTTTATTCTGTGGCAATATTAACTATAGATAGTATACCGTAGTAAATATTTGCCGAACTGGCAACTCATGTATTATTTATAAATATGTGGGACATATACTGTATTTAATGCACAAATTTGGTATTTAAATATATAATATGTGGTATTTGACTACTTACCAGATGAGGATAAGATTCCATGTTGATAAATAACTTCAATTCAAGATAAATTGATAAAAATATCAAGATATTTTCGAAAGAATAACACGATTTATACACGAGGCCTGACGAGGCTAAAGTATGCCCGTTTGCAGGTTAGATGCGGGCACGATGTAAACAATTGATGTAAACGAATCGCTGATTGGCTTAAATTAGCATAAAATAGCTTAAAATATATAAGCTCGTCGCTGAATGGCTATGTGTTAACATACGGTAACACTGACGGTCACGTTTGCGATAGCAATATATCTGCTTCGCAGATACAAAAAGCGGCAGGATAATCAAAAGTATAATCTCAAGATTTTGTCATCTACAGTATACAAACTCGATGATTCTTACAAAGTATTAACAATTAATACATGCATTTACAACAAAATTATAATGATTGTATGTACAATCGAAAATTGCCGATAATTACCGACGACCGTTTCAAACCACAATTGGTCCGATCTCAATAATTTCCGATCTTTTGCTGTGTTGCGCGTACGAATATGCTTGGTTCTTAATTGTTGGGCTAAAAAGTTATTTGCATATGGCTGTATAGCACACAGGAACATACGTGCTGGGAAGACATTGACGAGTGACTGCATTTGATAATTTTCTCAGCACAAACCCTCAATAAATCGTTTGGATCATTACACATCTTGGATTAATGATAAAATTATGTTGTAAGTTATTCATTCTTCAAATACCCTATAGTATCCCAAAGTTGTAACAAACATCCAGCAGACTTGTAGCAAAGCTGTTCCAACAACCTGCCAACAAGATGTGTTCGCATGCACTGCTTGTTCCCTGCTTGTTGACAAGTTGTCAACGGCTTGTTGACAACTTGCTCAGTACAAGGTTGTTGAGCTCAACAGACTTGCTGCAAGTTATTTCCAACAACTTGTTATCGTCCTGCAATGCACCAATTTGTCAATAAGTAATTGTGAGTGACAACCTTGTTGCAACTTGATGAAATATAAGAACAGCATTGTTACGACTTTTTGACAAGTTTGCTACAAGTTTGTTGCGAACACATCTTGTCGACAAAGTTGTCGGATTTTTACGTGTGTAGTTTATGTACGTAAATTTTTAGTGATAAATTCACCAATAATCGGAATGCATGGGCAGCAGCCCGACAAATGTGTTATTGGTGAACTACTGGAAACAGTTAAAGTTCCTCTTGTGTATTACTGAGTTTTACTATTATGGAAACTGAGCAACTCTGTAAATAGGGACTGCCAGGTTACAAAGCTACTTTTACCTGTTGCAGATGTTGTCGCCTGGAAATTATTTTATCATGTGACGACCTTTTTTATTTCTTTTTTTTTACTTTGTTTGGGGCGAAGAAAGTATGTCAGGTTCACCTTGTGCTAATTTATGTCCAAAATGAATAATGTCATGTTAAAAAATCAAATACTGTTAAAAAATCAATCTCCTCATGTTTCGTGCAAAATAAGGTTTGGGAAGGGGATGGGATTGAAATAAGGATCATACAGAAATTATCCTGTGCACAGAATGATGTTCTCCGCTTCGGAAGAACGTCTGTGAGTCGGATTAATTCTGTCAGTCGGATAGCATCCAAAAATATGGAACGATTTGGGTGAGGAGTTGAAATTTTCCTCCAGAAAGTAAAAGTAATGAACATTACGGTAAAAAATTTAATTGTTTCAGGGTTATGTAGACTGTAATTTAAGTAGACCTAACATGCACTCGATTGACGTTTTTCTACAAATACGAACGACTCCAGATGTTTCTAAAATTCAATAACTGCACAAAAAATTATAATTATAATTTTTCATTTACTAATTTCTTTCAAAACTGGCATATTAAATGATTAATCATTTTTGCATCCCGATTAAAACAAATATTCTCATTACGATATCCATTTCCAAAAACAGGTAGTCACATTTAATTTGGGGCCCCCCAAAGCGTTATTGCGTTTTTGCCTAAACCACACATTTATAATTGATCTATTGACTATTGCAAACAATAGAATGATTCATTATATTTTGCGGTTAATTTAATTAAGAGCAAGCCCGCATTGAGGATATGATATAATATAAAAAAAGATAATATAAAGCATAAAAAACTTGACACAAACTTTTAATCTTTCATTTTCCTCAGGAAAACAATGGTAGCCCAAGGTGCGTTTGAAAGAAAATGTCTAATGGTGGCAGTCCCAACAGTATTGTCAATCCTAACAACCAGTTTATGCATTTTGTTCACTCTTACAAATATTCCCGGAAATATTCTGATTATTTTGGCTGTTGTTTTTGATCCAAATAAAAATCTACGAACTCCTTTCAACTGGTTGGTTGTCAACTTAGCAATGGCAGATTTAATTGTCGGTGTGGTAACAGAGGTAATATATTTTGTATAATGAGTACTTTTTTATGGACTTTCTGATTTTCGTATATTCTGCTTCCCTCTCCCCCCTTATGTTGTTGTTGAAAAGCTGTTGGTGAAACAATGTTGGTGAAACATTGATTACTGAACGAGAAGCCAATATTATATAGAGAGAGAAGGGAAATTTAGGAATTTTTTAACTTTGGGAAAATTTTTAATTTTTGGAAACTTCTTGGAATTAATTTCCATGGACCATGATTATAGTTTGTCAAACTATCCACGTACGAAGCTAAGCTTCGAACGTCGAAGCACAACCTTTGTTCAGGTGTGGTATATTGACCAGTGAAGCTTACCACAATTTATTACCTATATACTGTATAATCA